ATAAATAAGCACAAAAATATACATGCACTGTGTATGGTATTAGGATGTGAACATAAAAGCAAAGCTTAATTTCCACATATCAATAGAAAACAGGAAGGGAAAGAGGCAAGCATTCGGATCTGATTCTTCCTGTCATAGAATTGGATCTAGGCAAAGAGCTAGAATATGAAGCCAATATAGTAGATTTAAGACGTTGGAGATTACTTCCCTATACACATCGTTGGCCTCCATTCAGTAAATAATTGGATTTGTTAGGAAATGACTTCAAATTGGGGAACTTGGGATAGTTTGGTGTGTGCCCCAAGGCTTTTTAGGAGCCGTCTGTAATGTGTTCTCTAGAAGACTTTTCTAACATATCGGACTCATTTCAAGAATAGCATGTAAACATACCGTAATCTTTCAATTTTGCATTTTTTTTCAAGACATTTTAAAAATCCAGACATTTAGAAACATAACTTCACACCTCTTACATGGAAAAGTTCAAAGAATGCCAACACTAATTTTAGTTTTCATTAATACAAACTTTTGGTGCCCAGGGTTACTTTTACAACCTCATAATATTGTGGTCAAAAATCAGTAAGCATCTTGTTTTTTAAAATGAGAGAAATACAATAGAGAAGAAAATGTGCCCTGTTAATGTATTCAAAAGATCTATTTTTCCCTTGAATAAGCACATTAATCCCCTTCCCCCACAACAAAAAGCTTGGCCTCAGGATTATTTTGTGTTGTGTCCAAACCAGTTTCCCCACAGTAATTCTGAGATACATTCCAACTTAGACATTTCACTTGCAGTTCTTGACTGTCCACTTCCTTTCCCATCTTTTAAATACATTGTCTTTGTGCTTTTGTGTATTTTCACAACAATTCATAGTTTTTGAAAATCAGGGCCAAAAAATTGAATAAAGAAATAATATGCCAGAGGCTAGACCTTGTAGTTTATTTCTTGTGTAATAATTCTTCATCTAAAGTCTGCAGCATTAACTCTGCAGCTGCAGCTGAAGTGCCCATTTAGCCATTTCTTTTCTTGCTGTGGCAGGCTGGACACAGAAAAAAAAACTTGTCACCTACTCTGCTTAATCATATCAAATGTAAGTTATTCAAGGGCAGTAAATACCAGATCTGTCTGTGTGGTGTTCTTGCAAAAGACTTTTACTGGCTTTCAAAGCAGCTTTATGATTCAAGTGTAATTTATCTCCCCCTCTCTCTCACTGACACATTTTGTAGAGGAGATTCAGTCATGTTTTGATGTATTGGAGAATGGATCGAAATCTCAATCTAAATCCAGACCCTACAAATGACCTTGATGTTTGCAGAGGTCTTAGTCTAAATTGAAAATACTGTGCAATCATTCTCTATGTGCTAGTAGCATTTTAGAATAAGATCTAGCTTTTGAACAAGTGCTCACGAGTTGCACTGCTCTACAGTGGCTCTGCTCCCTCCTGAAGGATCGTACCCAGTTGGTGTTGCTGGGGGACACCTTCTCGGACCCCTGGCCATTGACCTGTGGGGTCCTGCAAGATTCTATTCTCTCCCCCATGCTTTTTGACATCTACATGAAACCACTGGGCAAGATCATCTGGAGTTTTGGAGTTGGGTGCTATCTCTACGCAGATGACACTCAATTGTACTACTCTTTTCCACCACATTCCAAGGAAGCTCCCCAGATCCTTGACCAGTGCCTGACAGCTGTGACAGACTGTATGAGGGCCAACAAACTGAAGCTTAATCCAGACAAGACAGAAGTCCTCCTGGTCAGTCATGGGGACGATCTGGGTAACCTGTGCTTGATGGGATTGCACTCCCCCTGAAGACACAGGTCTGCAATCTGGGGGTCCTTCTGTACTCAGCGCTGATGGTTGAAGCTCAGATGTTGGCAGTGGCTGGGAGTGCTTTCGCACAATTAAAACTGGTGCCCCTGATTTGGCCATGGTGGTCGACACCTTAGTTACATCTAGAATGGACTACTGCAATGCACTCTACGTGGGGCTGTCTTTGAAGATGGCTTGGAAACTGCAGTTAGTGCAAAGGTCAATGGCCAGATTACTAACTTGAGCTGGTTATAGGGAGAACACAATGCCCCTGTTAAAATAGCTCCACTGGCTGCTGATGAGTTCCCGGACCCAATTCAAAGTGCAGGTTATAAAGCCCTATACACTTCAGGTCCAGCCTATCTTCAAGACTGCCTCTCTTTCTATGAATCGGCAGGACCTATTTATCTACTCACATGTATTTGTCAGGATTTGTCAGGAGTTGGAGCTGACAGATGGGCGCTCACCCCGTCTTGCGAATCAAACTGCCTACCTTCAGGTCAGCAGTTTAGCAGCATGAGGGTTTAACCCATTGTGCCACCGCGGCTCCTACAATATTTTTAGCTCATAAAATTTCATAAAAACTGGATTGCAAGAATACTCATATTATACAGTGGGCCCTTGGTACCCTTTGGGTTTAGTTACAGGACCCCCAACCCCTTCTGGATATCAAAATCCATGGATGCTCAAACTGCATTCTATACAATGGTGTAGTAATACAGCATGTCTCATATATAAAATGGCAAACTCAAATGAGTGCTGGAGAGATCCTGAATGTCTGTGAAATGGTGGGAGACTACAGCAGATATGCCTATACATCAATATAATAAAATCAATTTTTAATTTTTGGATTATTTTCAAGCCATGGTTAGTTGAATCCATGGATGCAGAATCCATGCAGATGGGTTGCCAAATGTACTTCTTTTCCCTTTAGATATGTGATATTCAGAGGCATCACATCCTTATGTTATGCTCTAAGCTGGAGTTACTCGAAGGAATGGTCCACAGAGGGGTGAACCTCCTTCCAGTCCCTGGAGCATTTCTAAGAAAAAGTCAATGGCATCAATATGGAGCTAGTCCCTGCTGGGTCTACACATCAGATAACTTAAGCATTAAAGCTAGCATTCAAAATAAACTGTTTTGCTTGATCAATAATTGGTCTCCCCTATCTTTTAAAACTTTTTAAAACCATTTGGTTTTGTTCATGGCACCTTTGCTTCTTAACTTCTGTGGGATTGTGCAGAAAAATAATACCAATCAAATGCTGTCATTGTAAATGGGTGAGCTTGACTGACCTTATAAACTGGATGTAGCTCACAAGGTTTTGACTAAACATTCAAAAAAAGAAACAACATTTTATTGTTGTTAATATAAGAGATGTTATTGATGGCAAATTAGATCCTGACACTACAGAACAGATGGCACATATCCGTCTATAGCCAGACAGTAGCATTTGAAGTGCTGGAAAGTCAAAGCTGGCATTAAACTAGGTGTTGCAGTAGTGAAAAGCTTTAATAATTCTAGCATTAATCAAGCAAAGAAATCAGACCGAACAGATGCTGACCACTTGAATTTCCGAAACCTTTTTACAGTAATTATATTTCTCTTGCTCTGAGCAGTTAAGAGATTCAGAAGTGGGCTTATACATGCATGAAGTAGAAATAAAATTGAATTACAAAAAGCTTAAGTGATATACGTGAGTTTTACTTTGAAAAAAGTGTTCAGGAACATTAAAGACATTGGTATAGAAATTATTTCTGGACTTACATTACATCATGGTTAGTTTGCTGTTATTTGAATATTCTGTAAAGTTGGCTTTATAATCTTTTTAAAAAGTGTTTGAGAAGATGTATAAAATTATGGTTGTCAATTATTGAAGTACAATAATATAAAATTAATAAGAAATTAAAATCTGTGGAGGTTTCAGCTGATCAAATATTGCTTCCTATCCTCCCAGTTTGGGGGTAAATCAGAGCTTTCTAAACTCTGTGTTGTGACACAGGAGTGTGTCGGCTGAAGTGTGTAGTTGTGTCATGCAAGCGTAAGGAGAAATCTCTGAGTCTGTGTGAAATTGGCAATAAATCATGTATATTTTAAAATATAAATGAAAAGTTTTCATGAGATATGTTGTATCCCCATGCATTTTGTTATTACAATTTACCGTACATATGTGTCTGTAACTCTTATAAGGGTTTTATTTCCGGTAACATCCAGTTTGCTAGTAAAACTGAATTCTTGTGTTGTGAAATGATGCATGTCTAAAAAGTGTGTCACCAACATGAAATATTTGGAAAGCGTTGGGATGTAAATATGTTACATTTTCTCAGGATATCAACCAGCATCTAAGGTTCCCAAAATCCCAACTGTTTGCGGGTATTTTTGATACTTTAACTTCAGTTTCCATTGTGAACCTGTTTGTTTGAACTGGATAATTTCATGATTTCCCAGTCCACTTCCATTGTGTTATTGCTTCCATCTCTGCATCTGATCTGAATGGATATATGTTGTTTCTATCAGTGTCAACTGGTGGCCACTGGTTCTGGATTTTAAATGTGCTATCCAAGGTTCTGAGATTTATCCCCAAATAGGTTGAACACCCTTAACAGTTACTTAAGTTCAGATGAAAACCTAGAACAGATCCTGTATTCTGCTGACCTAAAACCCACCAGCCACCACTGGGTTCCATGATCATATTTCATGATTGTATCTTACCTATACCAGTGCTTCTCAATATTTAGTCCTCTAGGTGTTTTGGACTTCAACTCCCAGAAATCCCAGCCAGGTTACCAGCTGTTAGGGATTGTGGGAGCTGAAGTCCACCTGAGGGACCAAAGGTTGAGAAACACTGACTTATACTACAGAGCAGTGTTTCTCAAACTCTGCTCCTCCAGGTGTTTTGGACCTCAGCTCCCACAATCCCTAACAGCTGGTAACCTGGCTAGGATTTCTGGGTGTTGAAGTTCAAAACACCTGGAGGAGCAGAGTTTGAGAAATGCTGCTATAGAACATTATATATAGAAGACTGAACAGCTGTTTTTGTTTGCTTGAAAACTTCCTTATCTAATCAGGATTTCAAAAGAAGTTTGTTTATAATATTCATGGAAATGAAACGGATTGTGTTAACTTATGGACAGTTTTGTGTCTTCACTGGTTCCTGATCAGCTAAATGTATCCTGTTCTTCCACCTTGCAGGAAACAGTTGGGGAACCCTTCTTCCTCCTGCTCTGTGCCATCAAACAACAGATCAATAAAGGATCGATAGATGCCATCACAGGAAAAGCCAGGTACACACTGAATGAAGAATGGCTTTTGAGAGAGAACATTGAAGCAAAGCCAAGGGTAAGGGGTTTCTGCAATTCAATTTAAAGAGCTTATTATTTCCATGGCTATATTTGAAGCCTGAGTAATCAGTACCAGCTTTAAGAATGAAAGAACTTTTGATGGATGATCTCTTTCTATTGTTTTCATCTAGCACTTTGTTTGCTCTGGAAGTAGAGTGGAGAATTCATCTGGGTTCTGAGCAACCACAATTATGGTTATTCATTCCCTTGATGGGTAGAATGCATGACGTGGTGGCCATAAGCAAGAATACCATAGATGGAACCATGGATAAATGTCCATATGTACATCTGGTCAGAAAGGTCAACACTTTTCCTGAATAATTGAGGTTTAGTAGAATCAGTGCATTAAACAAAAATATGGTATTTTCCAAGTAATTCAGGTTGCTCCTGAAAATAGAACAAAACTATTGGGCAAAATACTAATAAGTGAAAATAATATTGACACAATGACATTTACAAATCAAGATATACAAGAATTTGTACACACTATCTAACTGTGCATATCTATGTTCTCACAACAGTAATCAAAAGTGCTTATGTTATCATATACCAAATTTCAAATCAAATTGTGTGTGTATAGAAATATCATTTTAAAACATCTGGCCACTTAAAAAAGCACAGCTCAGGAATATATCAAGTCTAGAGAATTCTGTCTGATTGGCTAAGGTTCAAGATAGCCTGAAAAAAATAAATATACTAGCATTGGATGCTGTGTAACAATGTACTAGTCTGATTCTTTTGATTTCTTTTTTAAGGAATGTCTCATCTTTACAGCTTCTGGCAAAATAGTAACTTTTTTGCCACTGAGATAGGTTGCTGCTTGTAAAGCTGAATCTATGGTGTGAAAGCTTTTATACAGGGTGTTACAGGAATTGTGCTGAAAAATGATGCTATAAAATAGTTCTTGTGGGACTATCTCATGCTAAAATTATAGAGTCTGGAGGAATATGTTAACTTCAACCTGACAGAAAATGCAATAGACAGACCTTTGCAAGATTCAAACTAAATTCTGCATTTGATTACATAGCATAAATCTGGAGCAGTTCTCCCAGAATCAGTGGGGTCACCGAGGAGCTATGGTGGTGTAAATGCGAACAGATTTTTGGCACTGTGTTCTTCCCTTCTTTGCTGCAGTTTCCCATTCCTAACTGATCTATAATTTACGAAGCATAGCTAAAGAGGTTAGCAGCAGGACCCTGAGTATTAACTTACTCTTTGCAGAGAGATAGCTCCATAACATAAACTGGAAAAGTGCTGCTGACTTGTTTACATGTAACTGAAACGGAAGTGAATGCACCATTCCCAGGTGATGATAAAATTTGTTTTACCATGTAGAGGGGATAATGCAATTTTATTGCAAAATTTGTCATCACTTTACACGTTCAGTTCTTCCACAAGCCATTCATGAAGCATATTCTGATCACTAAAATGTGTACAATTTGACTGTTATGGTGCAATTAATATGTATAGAAATAATGTATATGTGGACTTATCTATGGGTCAGTATAAGTTCTGTACCTTTCTCTGAAATTGATGAAAGACCTTTTTGAATTTCTGGGTGGAGAAATTGTGACTTTGGCTGGCTTACTCCCTAAGGTCCCCCCCCCCCTTTTTTTTTTTTTTTTTTTGTAGTTAAAGTGCAATACTTACATTTGAAGATTTAATTGTTCATGGATTTGAGTACAATATTGTCTCTAGGCACTTGACCATAAAGTCATATTGGAAACAAGACCTTCTCCGTGGTGGCCCCTCGGCTGTGGAATTTCCTCCCTAAGGAATTAGATCTGCCCCCTCCCTCCTGACCTTCTGGAAGAAACTTAAATCCTAGTTATGGGAGCAAGCATTTATAGAATAGACTGATTTTACTGGCGAATATGCGATTTTATTTGACCACAATTTGGACTGATTTGGATGATGTTTTTAACCTGGCCAACTGTTTTAATGTATATTTATAACTATGTTATGTATTTGATTGTATTTTATTATGTGTTTTATATTGTGTTGGCATCAAATTGTTGCCTGTTGGAAGCCGTCTGGAGTCCCTCCTTGGAAGTTAAGATGGACAGGGTATAAATGTTCTAAATAAATAAAATAAATAAATAAACCTAGAGAAACCTAGAAATAACATTTCTTTAAGAATCTCTAGTTTACCACACAGTCATACAGGAAGACCTAGAGATTCTCAGAGAAGTGTTAACATAGGTAATAAAATAGCATTTTTTATTTGTAGTTTTTTAGTTTTGCGGGAGTGCTGCACCCCAAAACATAGCCAATGTGGAGAACTAACTAATTATTTTTTCTGTCCCCTGCTGCAATTGCTCCCGTGTTTCAGGCCTTAGGGTCATAGACAGGACATTTCAAGAGAAGCTTAAAGTGCTATCTGTTTTCAAAGCTCTTTGAATAAAATAACTGATTCCCATGTACAGGGCTGTAAATCAGCACTTCTCACTGGCTATAGAAATTTCCTCCTTAGTGCAGTGTATATGGTGTGCCAAGATTTTCTTTCCAGCTCATAGCTCACAGGCTTTTTATGACTTACAATCCATGCATCCTACACTCTAAGCAATCACCTTTTTTCTCCACAGAATCTTAATGTGTCTTTCCAAGGCTGTGGGATGGACTCCTTGAGTGTTCGAGTCATGGATACAGACACTCTCAGCCAAGTTAAAGAAAAGATACTTGAAGCCTTTTGCAAGAATATTCCATATTCCCAATGGCCAAGGGTAGAAGACGTTGATCTAGGTAAATATTCTGTTTTCCTATTCAGTCCTTAGTTTTAGGAAACAAATACTAATTGTACAGAAACATAATATTCAAACATGAAGCATTTGCACTCAGCATTTTACACTTGCTAGAAGGCTAGAGGGAAATTTTAATTTCCCACTCGGGGAAAGTGCCCAAGTTGAAATCAGAAAGGGATGCATATAAGCAGATGGCACAACATGCTTGTAAAAAATACTTGTTAACTGTTTACAGCTCTCAACCTGTGATCCAGAACATACATTTGAAATTAGTTGACCTTACTTCCACCTAAATGTGTTCAACATAAGATGTTAGTTAAGCAGAATCATTTTTTATTTAAAAATAAAACCACATAATAAAGAACCAGATCTACTTTTGCTTTTACTCTGCACCCAGATGTCTTGTGTTTAAAACACTGCAGATGTTTGTGACCAGTGTTTGAATTAGGATGCATAGTGTTAAAGATTTGTGATACCAGAATACAATTCAGTCGTTTAAATTTTAACCTACTTGCCACCACCTTGGAAGTCTTTCTACAGTGAGCTGCCCAAAGGATCCCACATCTGACTCCGGTGGCACAAGAATGCCCCTTCAGGAGTTGCAACACTTGACACTGAAAACACCTGTGTCCCTTGTCAAACGTGGCATCCAAATAAGAGAAACCATTTGCGTTCTCACTGGCACATGCTGTGTTCAGGCAAGGTTTTTATTTGCTCCATTTTCTTTATTTAGAATGGTTTGCCACAAGCACTGACAGCTACATCCTTCGGGACCTCGATGACACTTCAGTGATGGAAGATGGCAGGAAGAAACTGAACACGTTAGCACATTATAAGGTAAAAAGAGTGACTACTCCAAGAACTTCCCTTCCTTTGGGTCTGCCATTCCTTGGGGACACACCATGATTTGCCTTCTAAGCAGGATTAGCAGAAGCAAGCAGGAAGGTTGCCATAACTCCACAAGACCTTCCGGGGAATAGACATCTGCCCTGGCGAGAAACTCGTTAATATTGCAACACATCGAGACTAATTAAAAGCTCTTCATGCAAAACAAGTCATTGCTAGGGAAAAAACTCTTTTCCCAGTGGCCGCTATCCATCCTAATTAAAATCATACCATTCCTCTTTCTTGTTGACAGTGATGTCAGAGTTCCCATTGGTCTCTTATGGGAACCAGGTTTGCCCACAAATGGTCCTTTTTTACATTTCTTTTTTTAAGGAATAATATTCATTTGAAGTGACAGTAGGTTAATTTAAGTCTGTATTTGAAGTAATTTCATGCACACTCAGTAATTTCATGCACAGGATTATTATTGCCGTAGTTGATGCTGGGGCTTGAGGAAAGAACTCCATGCCGGTTGTATCAAGCAAGGTTCGTGTTTTGACCATTATAGCCAGTCAATCATAAGGTTGGCTGCAGCTATTTTTTAGAATAACCCACATCAAATAAATCCATATGCAAAATATTTTTGTCATAATGAAAAATTCATATGTATCTTTCAGGAGAAATCTGCAAACAGAATATTAGATTTCTCCCCTCTCCTGTTCACGGGTCTTCCTTGGAAAATCCATGCAAATTTTATCATGCCTGATGTAATGTCTTTGACCAACATTTCCCTACAGAACAGTATACATAGGAAATCACTCTAACAGTCCTGTGTATACTTACCCATAAGTAAGCCTAGTGGGTTTTAAATGTTCATGTTTTATGTTAGTTATAATTTTTGATAGATTACATTTTAAGTTATAGTTGGTATGTTTAAGATGTCTTTTATGTAGGGTTGTTCAGGATTCTTACATTTGTACTTAATTGTCATTGAGGCATTGAATCTTTCCTTTTTGTTTGTTGGACTCCGCCCTGAGCTCCCCAGGGAAAATAAATAAAGTTATTATTATTATTATTATTATTATTATTATTATTATTATTATTAGAAACACAACAAGATGAGTCCACAGCAGACAAGATCATTCTGCTGGCTGTTGTATTGGATCACACGTCGGACCCTTCCCAAGTGTCTAGGACTGTGTGATGTATCAGTGAATAATGTGTGCAGATCCCAGTAAGGTGGCCTTTTGCAGCTAGCAGATGGTAATTTTATCAGTGCCGATTGTATTTAAGTGCAAGCCAAGGTCTTTAGGCACTGAACTCAATGTGCTGATCACCACTGGGACCACCTTTACTGGCTTGTGCAGTTCAATCTTTAAATTATCGTTGTTGTTATTATTATTTTCAAAGGGCTTACTCCCTAGCACATTGGTGTAGGATTGCAGCCTTAAGGATGCATGTTGGCTATGTGTCTTGTCACATTTTATTTGTTTTGTATTTTGCCTTCACTAATCGTTTGTCTCCTCCCAATCTTCATGTGTTTCCCATCAAAATAGAAAATTACTGCTCCTGTGTATGCATAGAAATCCTGACAAAATTGATAACAGCATGTTTTTTAAAAGGGGAATCTTAAGGTGGGATCATAACACAGTGAAGTGTAGCTTAAATTATTTATGTCTATAGTGAGTGTAATGAAATAGCATACATTCACAGCATTTTAAAATATAGGACTCAGGACTGTAGCTGTGAAGAGAATGAGTACAAGATTTTTAACTACAACATTTGTAAAATGGTTGCCCTTTCCTAAGGCAAAATAATTGTTTATGCAACACCTCCCCTCCAGTTTTGGAGCTCTGAAAATTGGTCTATATGGATTTTAATAACTTCTTATTTGTAATCCACAACAGTAAGTTCCACAAGACCAAATCTAGATGCTTAATCCCTTTGGTACTTATTGTTTACCTTTGATAAATAAACTTTTCATTGCTTTACATAGGAATCGCAGCCTCATAAACTGTCTCTGAAAGACTATTTATTTTGCATCCCTCCACCCACAGATTCCTGATGGTGCCTCCCTAGCTATGAGTTTAACTGATAATAAAGATACCACTTTAAGTAGAGGTAAGTTACTATTATTTTTCCAACCTTAATAGCATGTGGGCTTTGGGGGTACCCCCAAGAATGAAACCAAGTCAAGCAAATACCACTACCAGAAGACTAAACATCATGCAACCCTTAGATTTGTATAGTTTTTCCCAAATGTTTTTCTTTATGTGGCTTTACAAAACACATCTATGGAGGTTGTATTTGCCTCAGGTAAAAAGGCATTTGGCACAGTGATTTTACCAAACAGACAGCCTATAAGGAAGAAGTTAGGAACTTTCTCCCCGATCTCAGTTTTCACATTTGTTTTTCACAGTATCTAAATTTGTATTTGGGGAGGGGGAGGGCAGGGGAGGAATTTGAGACAAATTAAGAACCTAAAGGTGTACTGGCTCACACAATAGACAACCATTGACTTTGGAGCCCTAAAGTAAGACACAACCACAACCAATACTCCCCACATACTCCAATCCTCCAACAGACAAACGCTCTTCCTTCCAACCTGGACCATCAGCAGATATATAAACCTCCCTTGTCCAGTTTCCAATATCCCTCACAACCTTTGAGGATGCCTGCCATAGATGTGGGTAAAACGTCAGGAGAGAATGCTTCTGGAACATGGCCATAGAGCCCAGAAAACTCTCAGCAACCCAATACTCCTCAAATGTATCCAGTCCCATTTTAAAGGATAACATTATGTCCTTTGGGAGCAAATTTTGCAGTTTAAATTTGCATTTTGTGATTAAATGTTTCCTTTTCTTTGTCCTGAATCTCCCACCATTCCATTTGAGTGTGAATAGGACAAAGTCTAAGATTATAAGAAAAGAGCATCTTCACTCACCCTCTCTCTCTTTTCACATAATTTTTAATGTTGTACACATCTACACTTTCTCCCTTATTTAATGTTCCATCCAATTCACGTATTTTTCAATCACTGGAATATCTTCATTTTGCTCTCTGAGAAAAAGCTTGCTGAGCTGTTTTTGTTGTTGTTGTTTTGTCTTGTCTTTCTTTGCATTTCCCCTTTGGAATAATTCTCTCTGTTTGAGATACTGCATTTCCTTTTCTTCTTGCCTTGTCACCTGCAACAAAACCATGAAGGAGGCAGAGCTTTGAAGGTTTCTAGCTTGTTTGATAACATTAAACATAGTATCACACATAGTTTTGCCTTTGAGCATAACACAGTAATTGTCACACTACGACCGCCACCTTTTGAAATTGTGTTAGGCATAGAAGTATGCACTGAGGTTTGCCAAGCATAACAGTCGGAGGGTCAAATTAGAGGTGATATTAAAATGCCATTACTGTTTATGGCTGAGATCCTATATTACCCAGGCAGAAGGCAGCTATGGCTCCTTTACCCATGAATTCACAGTTCTTCTGTAATAACAACCCTGAGTGGTCATTCTGTGGCAAGTGGAAAGGTAGAGGGATCAGAGTCAGATAAGTGTCTGGCTATCCCCCATGTCTTCATGTGGGGTGATGACCTCTCCTGCTGAGATCTACCAGTCTTTCCCCACTCTCACTCAGCCAAACTATAGGTGCTGAAGAAGGGATTTCATTGTTGCAGGGGGTGGAAGACAATACAATTCGCTGTAGTAACACATACACAAAACTTGATTGTTTTTGTGTTGTCAAAGGCTTTCAGGGCCAGAATTGCTGGATTGGTGTGAGTTTTTCGGACTGCATGGCTACTCGTGCTATTCAAGCTTGCTAATTGCAACATTTACACTTGCTTTAAGCAGACAAGGGTTCTTTCTCCCACTTTGGACTTTTCACAGCTACATATACACTCCACTTGCTTCACTGCCAACAGAACTTCTAAAGATGCCAGTCACAGATGCAGTCGAAACATCAGAATGCTACTGGCACATGCCCATACAGCCCAAAATACTGACAGTAACCCATTTGTTGTTGTTGTCATTAAATACATCATTTCAGAAAACCTACATACACAATATATATATATATAGAGAGAGAGAGGGGGGGGGGTTAGGTGGGGTTGTTAATATTGTTGTGCACCCTCAAGCTGTTTCTGATTTATGCCAATCCTAAAATGAGCCTATCATAGGATTTTCTTGATAACTTCTATTTGGAGGTGGGGTGCCTTTGCCTTTCTTTTAGGTTAAGATCATATCCACACTGCCATATGATGCAGTTTCATAATGCACTTTAACTACATTGCATGGCACTGAAGAGGGAGCCTAAGACTTGCCCAAGATCATCCAGTGGACTTCTATAACCAGAAAGGGAACTCCATGGTCCAATATTGAAATCATTACACTGCTCTGGCTGTTAGGAATTGTGGGAGTTGAAATCCAAAAGACCTGGAGGGCCAAAGTTTGCCCATGTCTGCTCTGTGGGATAGAGGCAGGATACAATCTTACTTGAGGATCCAACTTATGGGGAGGGAATTTTCCTCTCCAGTCACAATCCTAACAAAACCTGCAGACTCATAGGCAGGCTTGTAATTAGCCATAATAATAAATAATATTATAATATTTATATACTGCACTATCTCCCTAAGGGCCATGATCTTCTCTTAAGATTAATAGGAACAGAGAGCATTGTGGCTGTGAATGGGAAATCATCATCATCATCATCATTATCTTTACTTATATTCCACACCCATTTCTCCGAAAGGCTCACAACATAAGTAAATACAATAAGTAATATATGCAAAATAAGTGACAAGCAAAATACAACAAAATAGACAAACAATAAACAGTAAAGCATTAATGTATTGTTGAAGGCTTTCATAGCTGGAATCACTGGGTTGTTGTAGGTTTTTTCGGGCTATATGGCCATGGTCTAGAGGCATTCTCTCCTGACATTTTGCCTGCATCTATGGCAAGCATCCTCAGAGGTAGTGAGGTGATAAAGCATTAGTTAATAAAGCATTAGTTAAAACACATTTAAAAGGGGGAATTAAATCTCCTCTCCCTTCAGTCTCACTGAAAATCAGGGGATTTCTCAGTTGCTCAAAAAATAGCCCTTGACACAGTTGTTAATGATGCATGTCCAGTTCCTAACCATTAAAAAAGAGAGTGTGTTGGCCACCACTTTGTCCTCCATCAGATGACAATTTAATTCATTGTCTTTATATTCCACCTTTCCCTAAAGGAGCTCAAGGCAGCATGCATGGCTCCCCATTTTTATTCTCACAACAAACCTCTGAAGTAGATTTGACTGATCAATAGCATATGACCAATATTTACCCATTGAGCTTCAAGGCTGGCTGGAAATGTGAAGCTAAGCCTTAATCCAACACTACTTACCACACAATAATAATCCTCTTAAATCCTGATCTGTTTATTCTGCTACTGCCATTGGTACTGCAAAACAACTAAAGCCTTGGTTATGAGCAACTCTGGCTCAAAATATAGGCAGAGTGTGAAAAATGCCATGGTGACACCATCCTACACAGATATCAGATCAGTGCCCCATTTGTCATTACTATATTCGCGATAGGTATTGTGCCAAGTAATCAGGCTATTCTGTTATCTTTAATTCCTTTTTAACCTCAACAAGTTTTAATGCCCTCCGGATGAAGCAGGTAGTTCTGATTTGGACAGTCCTATTTCAAAGTGTAGTTTGCTCCAAAGCAATAGGCAACGTGTGTGCCTATTGGTACCCTGGAGCCTAAGCTGGGAAATCCTGTTGATGACCTGATTTCTTTTCTTCTCTTTTCCCCATCCCCAAATTATTTTCACACCATATAAATGCATTCTCACATCAAGGAAAGCCGAGGAGCTGAGTATGATGAAGTGCTTGGGTAGAATGATTGAAGAGGAAAGTCTCCGAACCTGGATCAGAATCCGTTTTAAGCTCTGTTCTGTGATAATGATACCACAACATCAATGCAGTGTCACTGAACAGACCTATTTAGAACAATGAAAGGGGGCTGGTTCATTTTAGACCCCAGAATAATGTAAATCAACTTTTGTCAGCTGACATATGTTTCTAAAACATTTAATTGGCAAAATTGCACACATTTTCTCTGCCTTGGACTCAGTATTCAGGTTAGGATTGGCAAAAAGATGACTGAGCCATCTGCTTATCTGAATTTGATGAATGGATTCCATCTAATTCAGTGTAATGATATGGACAGGTCTTTTGGATGGTGAATCTCTATCCATCCTGGCTGAAAAAGGTGCCAGATGAGGACTGTCCAATTTTTTTTTTATCCCTTCTCCTTCAAATACTCTGGTTTATATTAATTCTAAATTTGTTTTTGTGGACTTAAAAAAACTTTCTTCAGTTTTCTAGTAAGGCAAAAGGACAATTTTAAAATATTTTTGTAAATAAATATTGCCATGTGTTTTCCCTCTGCAAAAATTGAGGGTAAAGACTAGGATGGATTTTTGCTAATTGGGTCCCCAAGACGGGCAAAAAGTTGTGTGGGCAGTGGCAACCTCCCCCTGCCAGAACCCACAAGGAAAGACAGATACAATGGTTTAGAATAACCAAGTGCCACAACTTATTTATTGGTTACAATGAGAAACAGGGTTGGCAACCATGGTCCTGGATCAAGGATCGGGCAGCCTGATGCTGACCGATGCTGCTTCATTACAGTAGGGATCCCTGGTAGTGAGCCAACTGGTTCCATCCTGGACACAGGTACTGCCACACCCCTATGCCACCAGGACACTCCCCCCTCACTGATAAAGGGGGGAGGTACGCAAGCCAGATCCAGGGCCCATGCCACACACCCACATGTTGTGATGAGAGAAAATACTAAGCAATTGAACAATACATGCATACAATGATACAGTTTCAGGGTGGAAGTTTTTTGCATTTTGTATTTTAGTAAGTACCAGCTTCTTCTTAGAAATGCTTGTGCCACAATAAACATTTTAGTCTTTAAACTAGATGGGGAAGAAGTGCCTCCATGTACCAATGATTATTGGATTTATCCAATAGGAAGGGAAAGTTTTGGTCATATACAATTATAAATAATAAATAAATAAATAAATAATATACAATACTGGGATGTCACAGGAGAGTTCCACAGTTCCCCATCCATGTCCTAAATAATGTATTTATTATTTTGGTTGGCTGTTTTAAATCCTACCTTTGTCTCAAAATGGAACTCAAAACTATTTTCAATGTAATTTGAAACAAATAAGCTAAAATAGCATTCATCAGGTATCTTTGCCTGTAAGACTTACAGTAGTTGTTCCTCTGTTACATTTGTAAATGTTATACTGCCAAAAGACTCCCTCCCACTTCTCATTCTGGATTAATAATGATTAAACATTCATATGCCTATCATAAGATAAACTCGAAAGCAATTTAAGCCTCATTTGTGAAGACGTTTTTTGTCTTTCCATCCAAGGTGAAAGCACTCACGATGCCGTGAGAAATTTCTACAGCTTTGATGTAATCAGCTCCTCGTGACATTACTTTGTTGTAACTAGGATTTAGCAAGACTCACATCTCTGTGACAGTTACGATGATTAAGCTACAGTAATTTATGTTGCTGAATCCTACCATTCATCTAAAAGCCTTCAACGTCCTCCAGAGAACGAGGAGGATTGATGGCCAGACAAAGAGACAGAAAGGCAGAGAAGAGACACTTAGTGCCCTGTTCACTGTGCTGCATGACATTCTCCGAATGGCAGCCAGCAATCTGTGAGGGGGAGAAAGGGGTGCCAAAGAGCAGCAATAGTATTTTGGCAGAGCTCTAAGGGGCCCCCAGCCTGAAGACATCCATAAATATAAGATAACTTTGGTCATCAGACTGGATGTTATGAGGTCATCCCCCACACTGTGGCAAAATAGACTTGTTTGTTGACCTTTGTACTTTAATGGCTGTCTTTTCCTATTGTGACATGCCAGCTGCCAATCGCCACCCACTTCACACATCAGACAGAATGGCTTTTAGCTGGATAAGTGGTCGACAAGAAGATGTATCAAATCTTTAGCAGTCACTGTGGCACTTTGAGGCAGGAGCTGGCAAAATGGTTCAGACCTGATAAGGAAAAACTCAAAGGTCACTCGCAAATAGGAAGCTACTGCTTGTCCGTGCTTTTCTCTAAAAATAAATATGTGACAGTCATCAGGAAAAAGCAGCATGTTTGTTTCCTACTTTTATTTGTGTTAGAAATACCTTTCTGTGCATAGAAATAAGCCCAGTTGAATTCAGCAACACCTACTCTCAGGTAAACATTTATTGGAATTCAGATGTGATCATGGAACTTGCCATTGTCATGAACAACACAGCTGAGGAGTTTGGGCTCCTCTCCAGGTATATAAAGTGTTGATAACATTAGTGTTCGGTTACATTGATCTGTATCAGCATTATATAGAGTCAGAAAAAACCATGAGGGACAACAATCCAATGGGATGACTTGCTTGTGAGAAGTGTGAATGCTTCCAAACTCTTAAGTGATGAAGCTCATCAAACATGTCAACAGAAAGGCATAAGAGAGACTTTTAGGACTATAGGAGAGGTGCTGCCTACTTGTCCATCCCCCGTAGGATGCTTGGCTGTAGGCTGAACAAGAGATCAACTGTATTTTATATCACATGAGCTTGGTCCGATGTCCAAAATAGTAATGTCTATATCGTGCTATCTCCCAGTCGTGTACTCAAAAGTCACATTCTCCCATTCAGTGAGTATTCCAATGGTCTAACCTACAGTAATATGTGGGAATTACTGTATGTGTTCACATATAAGTTGACCTATGTATGTCGAGGGCTGGTTTAATGAATTTTGACATGACCCATGGATAAGTCGAGGGACATTCCATGGAGAAGAAGCACCAACACTGCCTTCTACTGTCTTTTTCCCACCATTATCCATGGATTCCGTTTCCACACATTCCACCATCCAAGGCTAGAAAATATCCCTGCACACACATACACAAAATCCAAAAAGCCATTGTCTATAACGGGACTTGAGCTAATGCAAGCTCGCCTGCTTAGAGCCAAAACTTTCTTTAAAATATCTCATCCTTTCCACTCCTTTTTCCATGTGCCTTAGCTATGTGTGTGTGTGTGTATAATTGTGTATAGATTTCCTATTTTCTGTAGGAACGGGAAGTCTCTGTGGAGTCAGAGGTGGAAAGGGAGCATGTTAAAACTTTCAGTGACTTCCCACTAAATTACCGAAACTTCAAGTAAAAACAGTATTAGGTGGTGGTATCTGGTAGAATTGGAGGAGGGTGAGACCCTCTCCTACTCAGTTAGGAAACCTTTAGCATCAGCTTTTAAGTGTAGCAGACGTTGCAATGTAATTTCAGTGTATCTGGTGCAAGGTAATGGATATGAGCAATTTTTTTCAACTTTTCCACCTGATTATTCCCTTTTTCCTTTAGAATGGGCAACAAACCACACAGTGTGTGTATGTGTGGTAAATCAGGGGCCTTTTAACCTGTTCACAATGTTTCAGCAATCCATAAACAATGTTCCCCAAAACATGAAACAATATTCTTCACTTTTCTTCCTGTTACTTTGAAAACTGTGATTATGTACATTTTCCTGTGAAGGACATCCATATTTTTCATCAGGTTTTCAATGCGGTTCACAACCACACAAAGAAAATTCTAGAATGACTGGTTTAAATGAGGCATAATTTTCTAGTCCCTTATCTGGAAATCCTAAACCTGAAATTTTCCCATGGGTAGCTGAGTGATACCATTGCTTTTTTAGGGTTCAATATACACAAACTTGTTTTATGCACAAAATATTACAAATATTGTGTATGAAATTGCCTACAGGCTATATGTACAAGGTGTATATGAAACATAATCTAGACTTGGATCCTTTCTCCAACATACCTCATATACATGTATATGCAAAATCCAAAAAACAACAAAATCTAAAACACTTTTCATTTTAAGTATTTTGGATAAAAGATACTCAACCTGTACTTCATATACTTTTTGTTTTAAAATCTATATTTCTCATACAGTCTAAACTACGTAATGTTGGGTTCTTCTTTCCTATTTAAATTCGTTTTCTTGATATATGGCTGTGACTGAAAGCTAATACAATCAAATATCTATTTCAGTATTTTACTCTTCAGTAAAAAGTTTCTATTTACATATAATAGTTTACTCTATTTCACTCTATTTATGTAACTAAGTCATAGGTGAGGGGTTTGTGGGGATGGGTTTAAATTAAATCTCCTTTTTTCCATCAGTTGACTCAAATTGTCTCTAAAAGTTGGTTCAAAGAATTCTGAAAGAGGATGACAAATGTTCAGAGATGAAGTGCAGCCAAGACCAAATATTGCTAAATCCATCTGAAGCCTAACAATTGGAAAGTGGGATTGGAAGCCAAATTCTGCATTTCCAACTCAGTCCAAACCCTACATCAAGTTCCCAAATTATAAACATGGATTTAAATACCAGACTCCATGTAAATATAATCTAGGTTAGTTAATGTTTCATTGGCTCATGTTATTTAAGTTATGAGTGCTGTAAGTATAAGTATATCATGTCTTATTTCTGCTCACCAGAAGCAATAGCACAACAGTCTTAGCAAAGACTGTTGTGCAAAATAGCATATTAAACCATCTTCTTTACATCATTTCCTCCTTTTCTTTTCAGTGAAAGATTTGGACACTGAAAAATACTTTCATTTGGTAAGTATCCTGTTCCTAGGGCAGGATAATTGACTCTCCTACTGTGGGTGGGCTGGAAATATTTTCCATAGGGGGTCATTTCAACTTCTCTCTCCTATTTCCTCTGAAGAAAATGTTTTTTGGGGGGGGGAACTGGACCCACACAGCAAGATAGCAGGCGAGTGTAATGGTGCAGATAAGTTAAGAAAAGCCCCATCAACCTATACACAGAAATCGCAACAGCTTTACGTAAAGCTGTAAAAAACATTACTAAACAGAATGGTGTGATGTGTGGGATGCAGGTCTGGTCCAATGAAGTTTTCCAAGTGTGTTTGTTAGGAAACAAGCCCTCTCCCACCTTTGCCTCCCGTAGCTTAGCAAGACATAGCGAAAGGGAGGTTATGCTGCACATGGTTTATTGTCAAAGGCAAATCCAGGAATGCTTTCCATATGTACAGCATATGCAGACTGATGCATTTGTCAGCTGGCCAGCTTGCTGGCCTAGGATCAGACCCACCAAGGGGTTGATTGAGACCCTTGTGGTTCCTCCTTTGTTTGTGTAATAAGATAATAATTGAACGCATATTATGTTTGGCAAGGAAAAGGAGAGAACTCAATTTTTTATCTTACTTAGTCATAATCCTGCATATATTTTTAACATATTTTACCTTTATGATGACTGTCAGATACCAGAAAGGAAAGGGATTGTGTCTGGTGATGTTTCAGACAGCTGAGTTCATTGTGATCTTTAGCAAAACTTGTTGAGAGAGAAAATGAGAGAGATGCAGAGTGAGAGGAAACAAGGACCGCAGCTGGCAAATAGTACAATTTATTTTTAATATTGTTTCAGTGCTCATAATCTGAATGCTCTGTTTTTTTGCGTGGGGTAACATTCTTCCCTCCTCTTCTCCATTGTTGTTTTAAACATTGATGCTTTTTTTGGCAGCCTTTCTTCCAAATCATTTTAACATAACATAATCTTGTCTCTTTTTTTGGTAATTGTTTAGGTCCTTCCCACAGATGAGTTGAATGAAAATAAAAGATCTCATCGGCAGAGTCATAGGAAAAAAGTCCTTCCTGAAATCTACTTGACCAGATTGCTGTCCACAAAGGTAGGAAATGTGAGAGATGTGCTTAAGGTAAAACCCAGAGCAGTGGAAAGAGGCCAGCCTCCTTTGCATCTATCTTAGTATCAAATGCTTCATCCCAGCAGCCGCCTCCTTCACATTTCTGATTTTGCCTTCCCAACAGATGGGGGAAAAGAAACTGGCAGCAATCACATCCTTCAGGACGCATCCTTGAGCTGATTTTGCTTCACATCCAGAAAATGGTTGAATTCACTGATTAAAATGGAAATCCCACTTAGCTTTTGTAACAGCTCTGCATAGAATTGTATTCATGGGCCAGGATCCAACATGTATCTGCTTTGCATCCCACCATTTTGATGTAGGGAATAGAGAAAGAAAAAGAGAGTGAGAGATGCTTTATCCTCTTCTAGTTTGCTGCTGTTCACTTATAAAACTTGTTTGCCAGCTGCGCCTGTACCTTGGGAAGTCAGACTTGGCCATGCTGGTCCATGTTCTCGTTACATCTCGAATAAACTACTGGAATGCACTCTACATGGGATTGCCTTTGAAGACTGTTTGGAAGTTTCAAGTAGTCCAGCCAGCAGCCAGTTTGCTCACCGAAACAGGCAGCAGCCAGTTTGCTCACCGAAACGGCATACAGGGAGCATACAAATTCCCTGTTGCATCAACTCCACTGGCTGCTAGTCAGCTACCGAGCACAATTCAAAGTCCTGGATTTAGCCTATAAAACCCTAAACAGTTCCAGTCCAGCTTACCTTTCCAAATGCATCTCCCTTTATGAGCCAGATCTGCTGGGGAAGCCCTGCTCTCGGTCTCACCACCTTCACAACCATGATTGGTGGGGACGAGAGATAGGGCCTTCTCAGTCGTGACCCCTTGGCTGTGGAATTTCCTTCCTAACGAGATCAGATCAAACTCCTCTCTCCTGACGTTTAGGAATCAAGTGAAAACCTGGCTATTTAAAAAGGCGTTTGATGAGTAATGGAAAGGCAATTAACATCTTGCCATGACACGGGTAAAATGAAGCAGCTGAACTATGATTAAGGATTGGTGCAATGCATGATTTGTGATTTGGGTTCATGTTTTAATATGTTTAATTGTTTTAAATTGTGTTTTAAGTTTCTGTCTAATGATTGTTATTTATATGTTACTGTGTGTACAATTGTAGCATTGAACGTTTGCCTGGACATATTATGTACACCTCTCTGAGTCCCCCATAGGTGAGAAGAGTGGGATATAAATGATTATAACTTCTAACTTATCCAATAAAACCTTTACACATGGGTTCCAAATAAAGATTTGCAAGATCTGAGCTTTTTAAATAGAAAAAAAATCTTATACATACAGTAGAGTCTCACTTATATAACATAAATGGGCCAGCAGAACGTTGGATAAGTGAAAATGTTGGATAATAAGGTGGAATTAAGGAAAAGCCTATTAAACATCAAATTACGTTATGATTTTACAAATTAAGCACAAAAACATCATGTTTTACAACAGCTTAACAGAAAATGCAGTTCAATACACAGTAACATTATGTAGTAATTAATGTATTTACAAATTTAGCACCAAAACATCGCAATGTATTGAAACAGCTGTGGATGTGGGAGGTAGGCGGACTGCGTTGGATAATACAGAACGTTGCATAAGCGAGACTCTACTGTATTTTGAATAAATTAGGAACAGTTTGATTTGGGTTAAGGTGGAAAGCATTGGGAGGAGAAGGGTTAAGCGCACCTTCCTTCTGCTTCTCCTGTTCAAATCACCCTTCAGAAATATTTTTGCTGATAAGATGCAAGGAATGCTGGTGTTCAGCATATGCATAGCTCCTCAGCAGTCTGCTACAAATAAATAACTTTAAGTTTATGGACCACTTAAAATAAATTGTGGGGACTAATTTCAAGGCCAGATTTCAACTATGACAGAAAAAAACTAACTTCCCGTGATTTAGTACACTTTCCAATCTGCAGTGCTTCTTTTAAAAAGCTGATAAGATTTACACCAGTGGAACTGTTGAGCATATGTGTGTCATGAAATCTGCTTCTTATATTATTGCTTATATGGGACTCAGCACAGTGTGGGAAATACAATAGCATTTCTTCAAGCCCTGCATTTAACCCTCATGGGAAGTGTGCTGGCCACACTAGGATCTCAAATGCAGCACTAAACTTCTGCAGCGTCTGGAAAAGTTTGACGCAGTGGTGGTGAATAGTCCAGTCTACACGGAGAAACACTACTTTACAGCATCAGTGCGATTATTCTTAATGGACTTGGACACAGTGCTTGGCTTTAAGCCAGTCTGTAATTCCACTGTTTTGTGATTCATAATTGGAGGAGAGATCACAGGAGTTGCCAGGGGTCTGTAGCTTTTCCACTGTTTACCACACAGAACAATCACAGATGTGCTCTCAGATTCCAGCAACAGAGAAGGAGAATCTCGGTGCCAAAAGAGATTAAATGCAAAGCTAAAGCTAATTATATCACGATGTTAAAAATTAACCCATCTCTCAATCTGCTTTGCCTTCCCTCAGTCATTTATGGCAGGATTTCTTCCACTTTGCTTGAAAAATAAATAATCATATCATAATAATAGCAGAATCAGCATATTCTCATATTTATTCTTCAGGGCACACTGCAAAAATTCCTGGACGACCTATTCAAAGCCATTCTGAGCTTCCGAGATGAGAAGCCACCTGTGGCTATCAAGTATTTCTTTGATTTCCTGGAAGAACAAGCAGAGAAACGAGGAATCTCTGACCCAGACACATTGCACATTTGGAAAACGAACAGGTTAGGACAACAGTTTCTATTCTTTTTGCTTTCTGCAAACATTTGTTTATTTAAAAACCAGATATATGGAGTAAACATGGTTTATATTATTAATCACTAGAATTCTTAATAAGAGTATTAGAGAGGTTGGAATGCTCGAGGCTCTAGATTTAGAAAGATGAGGAACTGGGAGGAAGCAAGTGGTAATCGTACTGAGCAAAGAACCGACAACAAGATCATTCTGAATGTATAAAGTCTGAGTTGTAAGGCAAGCAAATTGAGGTAAACAAATAAAAAAGGAAAATATTGCTGTAATCTCTATATATCCTTATGCTTGAGCAAGCTCATTGATTCCAGTTGTAGTTTCTCAAGAGAGAGCACATGCAGAAAAGGAATGGGGGTGGTTTGGGGTGGGAAATGGCAAGGGAGCAGGAAATAGCTTCAGGACTGCTCGGCAGTGAAAAGTATATGCTCCTCGGAGGATATTAAAGAGACGCCTTTCAAGTTGTCACAAGGGAAACAAACATTCCAATTCCAATTTCAAGTTCAAAAATAAATCAAAAGTGAGTGTCAGCAAGTTCATATGAATATAGGTTAACACAGATATTTGTGTAAATGCATACCATTCAGAAGATTTCTTGTATTTTGTGACAAGTTAGAAAAGCTTACTAAAGATGAAAACAAAATTTATCCCCAATATTATCTGATTCCATTTAGAAGTAATCAGTAAGGTTTTTTCCCCCTTATTTGCCAGAAGTTCCTTTAAAAAGTATATTTTGCAAAATTGAGCAATGTAGGTGTATGTGTGTTCTTTGGCAAAAAGACTACTAGATCTAAGTTTTCTGAAAACTATAGTCGCACAAAAATACAGCGTGTTTCAAAATGATGGATCCAATTTCAAAGCAGTACCTTTCATGATTGCAGGATATTACAATTACACAATAAGTTACAATTGGCTTTATGAGTTATCAAGTTTTACCAACCATTTGAGCCAGAAACAAATCTAAAAAAATAACTCTGCAAATGGAGACTATCTCATTAGGACTTAAGTTGGCCATGTTGTAAATGACTGAGTCTAGAGGCTGTTTGTGTGCTGAGAGAGGCATCAAATGGTAATAATTTGAAACTCTATGGCACATCCTTTCAAATGTTAAGAGTTTCATTCATAGGTGGTTTGTCATTCCAGAGACATAGCACTTTCAAATTGGGTCCATCTTTTGAAACATCCTATAATTCTCAGCAGAACAATCAGAAAAGTTGGAATCCAAAACGGAATGACAGCCATAACATTTGCCCTATTCAACCACTTGTTTATGTGTTTAGAAGAAGCATCAAGTATGCAATGTTGATATAGAAGATCTCCAAAATAGTTGCGACATGTAACTGCTTTCAGTTATAAATAGATTACAGAGTTCCATAATACCTTTGCCATAACTTCATGGGCCAGTTAATGTGGACTCATCTCCACACATGACTGGATTTGCAACCAAAGCACCACATCCAGCCATTAATGCAATTCAAGGGTAGTTTCACAAGTGTGGATAGCCTCTACCACAGAATAATCAGAGAAGCATAGACACAGCTGTTAAAACCTGATAAGGCACACAGTCCCAAATGTAAGTGTGGTTGTGGTTCCTTGACCTTCACTGTCAATGAGAGGAGAGATTCGGGGAGTGTAGCAGTCAGGATGCGGGCACACTCTCCAGCTTCACCCACATACCAGCAAAATTAATATTGGGAAGAGAATAATTAATATCAAACCAAGAGAACTTAGACTTTGTTTTATATTTTATTATGGCCATAATTGAGAGACTTCCATTTATATTTCATTATGGCCATAATCCAGTGTTATTTCTGTCAGCCTACAATCAAGACAGAAAGAACTAATCAGAATAGCCATGCCTTTCAATTTTGTGTTTGATCTTTGCAGCCTACCTCTGAGGTTTTGGGTCAACATTCTGAAGAACCCCCAATTCGTCTTTGATATTGACAAAACTGACCACATAGATGCCTGTCTTTCTGTAATCGCCCAGGCCTTTATTGATGCCTGCTCCATCTCAGATCTGCAGTTGGGAAAGGTATGTATCATCCAAAAAGTTGGTTGTTTTGTTAGTTCTTCTCCAGAAGCATTATTGCCTAGAACATGTCCTTTGACTGTATATTTTTGGTGTTCTGTCCCTTGGTGGAAACAGTGTTATGAGTAAACACTATCATCATCATTGTTGTTAGGTTTGCAAAAAAATAATGGTGGAGGCTCCTTTTTGGGATGCTTTCAAACAGAGGCTGGATGGCCATCTGACAGGGGTTCTTTGAATGCAATTTTCCTGATTCTTGGTAGGGGATTGAACTGGATGGCCCATGAGGTTTCTTCCAACTCTGTGATTCTATATTACATCTCTAGTTTATTGGGAAACAACCAAACCTAACACAGGGAAAGAGTTGCATTCAGAAGACAAATAAATGATGGAATTAAGCACTATAGTTTATTCATTGGCATCTTCTTCTACCATGAGCAATTGAGAGATAGCCTGAAATACATTTTTCACAGCAAATAAGCTATAGATCTCTAGTTTATCCTGTCATCCCCACCAGTTAGCAAAAACCCCTTCCCTAGAAAAGCCAGTCATGTAACTCAGTTTGTGAAAAGCAGGAGGCATGATATTTCAGGTTTGTTGTTGCCATTCTTTTAGCGTGAACTTCAAATATTTCATCATTTTCTAGTTTAAAAAAACGACAGTCAAAGGGTGACTTCAGGTTGAAAGGATGATTTAAAATTATTTCCACTCTGCCAAAATAAAAGTTATTGCAGTTTGCAATGTAACTGTTTTCAAATTGACTTTTTCATGGCAGGTTCTTTTGAGAGGGCATGGATGTGTTTCTCTTATGATTAATATTTTATGCCTGCTTCACAGTTTTAAAGGCACTTTAAGAGCAATAGCATCCAATTTTTAAAGGAGGATCAGCTGTTTTCCACCAACAAATATAGCCTTCCCTGAAAGATAAGGCAGAGGCAATCTTCTGGGGAATAATAGCTATCATATCAGTTCTAATTCTCTTTATTCAGGCAAGTGGAAGAACAGATGGAGGGTTGTGTTCTCCGGGTTTGTTCTAGATATTAGAAGTTGTGTTCTAATGGAGTCCATCAAGGTTCCTGATGCCAAGAAGCCTAATATTGAATTGTGGGATGAATGAATGCTACAATAACAAAGTTTGTTTGACACTGTTCTACTTTTTAGCCACCACCAATCCAAATTGGACCATTTTGTGTATTACCATTAACTGCATTTAATCAGTTCATTCTAAATGTATCTAATATTACTCAGTTGTATAATGTTTTGTCTTTGAGTGTTCAAGAGCATGCACCTATCTTCCTGAAGACACTACATTATGATCTTTCACTGAAATTTAAGAACTTAAGATTCAGCTTGGGTATATTAGTAATTCATAGAATCTACTATGGAAAGAAATCAAGAATTTATGATCTTAATCATGCTCCCTTTATCCTGTAATCAGGACTCAATATTCTCTTGGTGCCTGAACAGATTGAGATTATGTAGAGATTATTAATCATGATGATGATGATGATGATGATGATGATGATGATGATCATATATTTTATTTATATTCCTCTCTATCTCCCCAAGGGGACTCAGAGTAGATTACAGGTACATATGTGGCAAACAGAGTCAGGCTTCCCTCTTTTTTCCATCTCTGGCATTTTGACTCAGCCATGGGGAGGTGCTGTTGTTCCATTCTTCAACACTGAGGAGCTTTGTCATTCATGAATGCCTTCCTGATCGAACCACCAGCATGTTTTTCAGGGGCACCTTTTACCGCCTCCCCCCCCCCCACACACACACACACACACAACCTGCTAAAGTGCTACCTATTTATTTATTTACAACAACATTTGTATCCTGCCCATATCAGCCCAAATTTCCAGGTGGGCAGAAGATAGATCGATAGCAGGAGCTCACCCCGTCCGCAGCTTGAACTGCCAACTTTCTGGTTGGAAGATTTTCTATAGCTGGCGGTTAACCTGCTGTGCTGTGTTACTGTATTGTTATTATTTTCTGAATTATAAGGCAGAATTCTGCTTTATCTTTCAGGAAAGCTTATATTGGTTGGTGGAAAACAGCTGATCCTCTTTTAAAAATTGGGCTATTGCTCTTAAAGCTCTTTATTGTCTGAGGTATTCCAGTGTAGATCAGGTTTGGCTGAGAATTCCTTCTAAAAATTACTACCTTCAAAGCCAGATAAGAGTAGGAAACCTTCAAGCTAAATCATATTGATTGCTGATAAATTCTTACATAGCTCAGTTAACCAATTCCAGAAAGATGAGGAAAACAGAATAGTGCGCTGAAGTTAAGATGGAAGGCAAATGGAAATGTGTTACAGAGCTCCATGTAAATGATATTTCTGGATGTAGACCGTGGACTGTTTAGCACACACCTTCTTCTGTTCCTCCATAAAAGCTCCTGGAGCAAGAGTAGGTTCAGGACAATCTCAATCTCCAAACAAGAAAGGCATGTGTGTGTTTTATTGTCCTTACGGCTTTGCTGCTGTTTGGTGTTGACATCTGAAACTTTCCAGCATCGATAAGTTTCATTAGGGAATGTTGTAAATTACACCCCGCTCAGGGCTGGCACATAGTCTGTGTGACTCAGAGCCTCCAGGTGGAGAGGTTTCTGTGCAGCACTGCCTCTGAGCATTTGACTCCTTGCTTGGAAGTGCTGGGAACTTCGTCCTCGGGAGACATTCATATCAGGTGAAGTTCTAATGAGAGGTGTCACTCTTGCCAGTGCTTAAGTTTCTACAGAATTTTTTTTCATTCTGTTACGAAATGTCTTTAAAAAAAACTTGTCAGGCTATAAGTTAGGACAGGGTAGGTCAGTTGGGGTCAGACAACAGATGGCAATGTTTTCAGGAATACAATTGCACAATAGAAAGCATTGTTGAATAAGTGGGGGAAATAAATCCATCGCATCAAAATAAAATTACATGTATACACAGTACGCCATTACTTGTGTGGGCCCATTCTTCTTCTTCTTTTTCCTTGATTTAAAGACTACTGACTTGAGTGGTATCCCTCAGTGGGCTTATTCAGAGGGTCCTGGGCATACAACTGAAAGTTGGCACTTTTAAAAAAAATCTCAACAATTGAGATTAAACTTAGAAACAGTTATTCTAACACAGGCATGGGCAAACTTTGATCCTCTGGGTGTTTTGGACTTCAACTCCCACCATTCCTAACAGCCTCGGGCGCCTTCCTTTCCCCCCTCAGCAGCGTATCAGAATCATCGAATTGGATGAGACCACAGGGAACATCCAGTCCAACCCCCTGCCAAGAAGCAAGAAAAACGCACTCAAAGCAACCCCAACAGATGGCCATCCAGCCTCTGTTTAAAAGCCTCCAAAGAAGGAGCCTCCACCACACTCCGGGGCAGAGAGTTCCACTGCTGAACAGCTCTCACAGTCAGGAAGTTCTTCCTAATGTTCAGGTGGAATCTCCTTTCCTGTTTGAAACCATTGTTCTGTGTCCTAGTCTCCAGGGCAGCAGAAAACAAGCTTGCTCCCTCCTCCCTATGACTTCCCCTCACATACGACTTTCCACTTAAGTGAAAAAGGAAAGGGAAAAGGGAAAGGGCCTGAGGCTGTTAGGAATGGTGGGAGTTGAAGTCCAAACCTGGAGGGCCCAAATTTGTCCATGCCTGTTCTATCCACAGCTTTTACATGGGCAATTTCATTTGAAAACTGCCAGTTCTTACTGGAGCAATGTCAGTGGTCTGTTTCTCTTTTTTTTCCCCTTCTCTACCAGCAGTCAACTCCTCCTTATTGTGTGAGCATTACTATTGCTATAAACCCGGAACTTCCTTATTTTTGCCCAAGGGCTGCATTCTATTGTAACCAACTTTGCAGGAGCTAGACACAGAAGATGAGTGGGAGCCCTAGCGAAAAAGAGGAGGGTGCAAAGGCTCCACTGGGAAAAGCCATCCCACACACTTCCAGAAGTGAGATTCACATACATCCATTCTCGCACTTAACACCCACGGGTGCATTCACACGTGTCATTGTTCACTCTCTTTCTTCCAGTGAATGTTAATGTTTTCTCTCTGGATTTTTCCTTCTAGGACTCCCCTACAAATAAACTATTATATGCCAAGGAAATTCCTGAATATAGAAAAATAGTTCAGAAGTATTACAAACAGATCCGTGACATGCCACCTCTCAGTGAACAGGAAATGAATGCACACCTAGCAGAGGAGTCTCGGGTAAGAAAGGAGCTCTTCTAGTGTGTTATTATCCATGTTTACCTGTACCACAAATAGAAGTAATTTAGGATACCAACAATAATAGCAAAGCAATCCAGAATATGGGAACAAGTTTTTCATTTCATCAGAATTATAAAATATTGAATTGAAATATATTATACAATGTATTTTTGTAAGTTATTTATCTTCAGAATTGTGGAGCCCTTCATATGTTATTCAACTGCAACTCACAATTAGTCATACCAGCTAGAGCAGGCCTGGGCAAACTTTGGTCCTCCAGGTGTTTTGGACTTCAGCTCCCACCATTCCTAACAGCCTCAGGCCCCTTTCTTTTCACCATCAGCCACTTAAGCGGCTGAGGAGGAAAAGGAAAGGGCTTGGGACTGTTAGGAATAGTGGGAGCTGAAGTCCAAAACACCTGGAGGCCCAAAGTTTGCCCAGGCCTGGGCTAGAGCTAATGAAAAAATGCAGCCCAATAGTATATAGAGTACATGTAGTTCCCACCCTGTTCTATATCCATATGGTGCTAAGGGATACTATTAAAAATAAAATGAGGAATCAAAGTATTGTGTTCATGAGCCAAACCATGTATAAATCAATCAAGTGATTGACCTTGGCTACACTAGACTTTCATTTTCTCCCACAACTCGGAAGTTATATATGTCACATATTAATTAACTATCTTCAAAGGGAACCAGTTGAAATATGCTGATGTTGGCTTGCAGTGCAATCAAATTCAAGTACCATTTTAGTGCAATTGATTTCTGTCAAATAGAATGGCTATCACTCGGTGTCTGTTGATTAATATTCTTCCCGTTTTCCCCCCCTTTATAAAGAAATATCGAAATGAGTTTAACACCAATGTTGCCATGACTGAAATTTACAAATATGCCAAGAGATACCGCAATCAGGTAAGCACCTTCTCTTGTGTAATAGGCTGAGTCAGTTTGACCACTGAGTTGCATGTCCTTGGGCTGATGTCGGTTGAATGTAACTAGGCTGTATTTTGTGTCCTTGCTCTGATTGGCTGTATTTTGCATGGAGGAGGAAAGAGTCATGGGAGATTTCAGCCTGTGTCATTGCACTGATGCTTTGTCAGAAATCCAAATCCTGGGTTTTGGTTTGTTTGTTTGGTTATTTCAATTCATGATATTTTAAGTCACTGATACCTAGTTCCCATAAGCTTTTGTTAAATCTGCCTTGGTGTAGACCCTGAAAAATACAGATTGCTATGGTAAAATGTAATATTCAATAGGCTTGGCCCCGGATCAGTTTGACCAAAAGTAATTTGTAATATTCGGTGGTCCATTTTACGTAATCCCCAAAACAGAATGGGAAGGCGGGAACAAAAAAGCTGGGCAAAACAAATCAAGAGAGCTGGATTTATTGGCTCCTGGAGAGGATGGAGTTAAGTCTGCAATATACCTGAGGCAGGGGTCTGCTGAGGGGCTCCTGAAGAAGATCCTGCAACTTCTTTTCTCTCCCCCCAGCAACACAGTGTCTATTTCTTTTGGAAAAGTTCCCTAGGCTCCTCCTCCAGAGAGGACCCTGCTGGGAACTTGCATTTCCAGCAGCACTTGCATGGGACAGGCATTGAAATGTCTCTGAGTTCCTCTCGGAGCATGATGGGAGAAGTAGTTTTTCTCTCTGTGTGTTTCTCAGCCAATAAAAGACCTGGTTGTGTCCATGCTCTGATTGGCTGAGAATGAACACAACCAGTGACTACAATTCCCAGAACCCTTTCTTGTGGTTTGTCTTATTTTAAAAAAATGTTATGGTAAAAATTTAAAATAATTTAAAAAAATTAATAGATTGATGAATTGCTCTGAAACGTGGGAGGCTTGCCATTGTAAATGGGGTTTCACGTATCTAGACCTTAAAATGACTGAGGATTGAGCCTTTAAAGTTTCCCATTGTAGCCAATGGGCCAAATCTTTGCTGAATAAAAATGGCAACACTCCTCCTGATTCCAGTAACTTCCCAGTAAACAAAATGAGGGGTCGGCCGAAAATAGACCCCGAAACGGCATGCCTTTTGGCTGAATTGCACAAGCCTAATATTCAAATGACCAATTCACAAATTAAGTCCATGTACCTTCATCTATGTTTCTGCAAACAGAGCTCTGAAATCTGTTAATGGCTTCTAATAATTATTTATTTATTTGCTATATTTGTATACCGCCGTTTCTCAGCCTAGCCGGCGACTCAACGCGGTTTACAACAACTTATAACAAACAACAGTATACAGTTTAAAAAGCATAAAAACATAATTCACAATACATATATCAGTAAACAATCCAATACATCTCTTGACTAAAAACGTGATCCAGTTTCATCGTCCAAATTGCCAGTCCTTCAATCATTACACTTATTGCACTGGGTTAACCGAACGCCTGCTCGAATATCCAGGTTTTTAGTCTTTTCCGGAATACCATCAATGAGGGGGCTGATCTTACCTCCATGGGAATGAGGCAGGGAAAAAAGCCCTCACATCTGGGGGAAAACCAGTTATTCCAGTGGATCTTTTGCCCTAGAACAAAGAAGGACACACCATCCAAACCTCATTCAGATTCCTATGAGTCTGTGATGTGCCTTAGAGATTTTAAACATATGGTCCAGATGCTGAAAATGCTTTTCCATTTTTAAGAGCTTTTTTCTGACATCTCTGTTTCAGCTCTCCCACCCCGTATGTGCACAAAAGAGGGGGTTTTCCCCCAGATGTGAGGGCTTTTTTCCCTGCCTCATTCCAAAATCCCTATCGGTGCATGGCTTTTTATTACACCAGCAACTATGTTTGAGCTTTCAAAGACCTCCAGATCTCTCCGTCAGGCCAGATTACAAAAGACAGTCTGGCACAGAAAGTTTTTAAAGGACAATGAAAGAAATAACTTCTATGTAGTCAAAGTAGTTCTTAAAGTTTCATCACCCCATTTCCACTCAGTTTTCATTTATATATTTCAGGCGTTCAGAGTAAACCTTTAAAAATATAATCAGAACAGTATCCAAAATCGGAATAATACCAATTAAATTTGATGGTATTTTTATTCACTGAAAACACACACAACTGTGTATCTGAACAGATTTGCTCATAATTTTAGAGCACTGGTATCTGAACACAGCTGTTGTTGCTGTCGTATTTGAAAAAATGCCATGTACTAGGGTGCAGGACAATGTTGGGCAGCAGATTATTTTCAGTTGCTATAAAATATGTCTTCACATCATTATCTATCTCTTACTTGGGCCCTAAGGGTGACAATGTTGCCAAATGACATTATCATATTAAGACTATAGCAGCACATTAAGAATATATGTTTATTCATGTCTACTAAGTGCCACTGATTCACTTTGCTGGAAATTTTAATAGAATTTCAAGATCTCTTTCCCAAATAATAGCCACTTTGGAACCAGTTTGTCTTACATATAATATATTTTGAATATATTTCACACATATATGGGTTATCCCATGCTTTTTGCTTATGTAGTCATTCTCATGTTCATGTGCATATTATTAAATAGTTCAGGAACCTACTTTTGGTCTAGTATAGGATTTCAGCCTAAAAAATGAGGTAGAGAATCAATATGGCCCTTGTTTTAGAATAAGCAAGGATGTTGCCTGGTCCCTCTCATTTTCTGTCATGATATAATAACAACATTTTACACTAACTTATAAGTAATATTTTTTTAGTGTCAAGGGCAACTTGAGAAACGTCAAGTTGCTTCTGGAGTGAGAGAATTTGCCATCTGCAAGGACGTTGCTCAGGGGGTGCCCAGATGTGTTACCTTCCTGTGGTAGGCTTCTCTCATGTCCCCTCATGAGAAGCTGGAGCTGACAGATGGGAGCTCACCCTGCTCCCCGGATTCGGACCGCCAACCTTTCAGTCAGCAGTCCTGATGGCACAAGTGTTTAACCCATTGCGCCACTGGGGGCTCATTATAAGTTAGCTGAAGGCAACAGAGACTAAATTGTGTTGAAGCTAAAGAATGAAATGAGTTGCATAAAGATGTTTATAAGCTGTATGACTGACTTGAGCTGGATCTACACTGCGATATAATGCAGTTTCAGAATGCAGCTGCATTGAACTGGATTATATGGCACTGTAGACTCATATAATCCAGTTCACTGCATTTAATTTGCATTCTGAAACTGCATTATATGGCAAGTGTAGATCCTGTTGAAGAGAATGACATAAGAATTTGTGTGTACGATATGTGAAATATCCTGCATTTGGGGGGGGGGGGGGGGGAATCATAAACTGGAAGACTAAGACTTCGAAGGACAGCTATGAAGAAGCTACACAAGATTCTCAAGTATAAGGATTATTGAATTCAATGGGTCTTTGGTATTGTGAGTGGTTAAAGAGGAGCAAAACATTTGTTCTTTGGGCTTCAGTACTACGCTGTTTTTCTGAAATCAAACTCAGATGTATAAAGTACTGCACTATCAGAATGCAAGAATCTCAAACCAATTTATGTCTAAATCCATCTTCAATTCCTTACTTCCTCAGATTGTGAGTGCGTTGGACTCTAATCCCACAACACGGCGTACACAGCTGCAGCACAAATTTGAGCAAGTGATTGCACTTATGGAAGACAACATATATGAGTGCTGCAGCGAAGCATAGGTGGCAAGCTGGACTTATTTCTTCTCCCATGTCTAGAAGTGACCTTCTCTAAAGTGCACTGTCTTATGAGAAACACCCTTTCAAAGTAGCTGTGTGTCAATATGTATCCTATTGTATGTATATGGTGACTAAGAAACCAACTTGATGGTGAGTTTGGCCAGTCTCCGTGAGCCACCAGGTAAAGTGAAGGTTGCCCACCCAACAGCCTTGCATCCTTTATGTGATCCGCACTGCATGGCACCCATGACGTATTTGGTCTTTAAGACAGGGGCGTGATAATTGGGCCGCCAAATGTAATCATTGAGCTCTGACTCTGATTCGAACTGGTGGTCTTTTCCCTCATTCATTCTCCCAGAGAGACTGCTGTAAAGCAGATATCAGGATATGGAAATAATGCAGAGGTGGTTAAGAGAAAAGCAGAAGCACCTCGAGGAACAATGAATGGGGTTTCACAATGCCCTTGGGGCAACAGCGGAGCTCCCTCAAACAGTGCCCCTCTTCCTTCTGTGTACTTTAAATATCAGGGAACCCATTTACTGTACACAGTCTGCTGCATTAGATGTATTTTGTGCCTTTTATTTTTGTACTGTACATGTTAAACATAACCACACCTTCATCCGAGGTTGGAAAAAGAGGTGGGAACCCACAGACAATGTACTTGCTTCCTAAGTAGTCATGACATGTGAAAGCACTTTACCCCCATGACGGAAATGGCTGTTACCTTGCTGGAGGGATCGTTATTGTATAGCAGACAATGTCGGCGAAAGAACAAGTCGGTGCAGCTGTTCCCACTTCCCAAAGCTTCCCAGATGTGTGTGCAGACCGAATTGCACTCAACAAATCTCCCTCTCAATGCCCATCTGGCTCGGCAAATAGTTTTCCCTTGAAGGAAATATATATATACACACATACACACACACACACACACACACATACATACATACATGACAAGGGTCAAGGGATGCACTTCCTTCCCTTTGTTCTGCCCCCCACTACTTGAGAGGGAATCTACAGAGCTGAACTCTTGGCTCAGCATAAATCCACAGTTGGCTTAATGCAAGACCGCAGGGTTTCACTAAAGCAAAAAAGGAAAAGTGTTTATCCCTGCTTTAGGTAACATTCCTTAGTGCCATATTCTGTAATCCCAAAAATATGTATCATTATTTATCCCTATATGATGCCCCATAACTGTTCTCTGTTTGCCTCTACACAGACTACACTAGGAAGCATTATCTCTCTGCTGTGAGGAGGAAACCCAGTGCTCTTATCTCTCTCTCTCTCTCTGGGCCTCATCACACTAGAGAAAAAAATCCACTTAAAATCCGGATTCTGCTTCCTGCAGAATTCTGGGGTTTGTAGTTTAGGGAGGAGCCTGGAGTTTGTAGTTTAGGGAGGAGTCTTTAACATCCTCACTAAACTACAAACCCCAGAATTCTGCAGGAGGCAGCAACCGGATTTTAAGTGGATTTTTTCTCTAGTGTGATCTCTCTCTTGGAATTCCTCTTCAGCATTTTAGGCAACTGCCTGAAGGCAACGGCTCTCCGAGACAGGGAAACCCAAACTTGTTGCGAGCAATGGGGCCAGCTAGTGCTGCCGACGATGCCAAGCTCATAAACTGCCAAATAATGCTTAAGAATCCTACACTACCTCACCAAAGGCAAGGTCTGAAGGGGAATTTGCCATGGTTTAAGAGGCGAAGATTTGATCACTTGGGTGGGAATTGGAACAGTTCAATTTCTTTTCAGTCGAAATTTGGTTGTTACAAGTGGTTATATTTGTCAGGTATATCTTTCAGAAATGTGTAGTGTAGTAAATTATAGGGGAAACTGATCTGTCATAATTTTATATATCGATATATGAAAAGTACAAATTTTATCAAAGGAAAAAATAAAGAGGAATATAAAACATGAGAAAGGAACTGCAAAAGATAGAGGAACTCACTGAGAAAGTGTTTGTTGAGAAAGTGGCTGCAGAAAAATACTTTTAAGAATGTAGCTGGGCTACATTTAACTTCGAAAGAGTGTTTTTTTTTCTTTAAAACTCTTTTTTTTTTTTAACTGTGAAGAGCTGCCATTACACATACGCTCTCAGAGGGTTGAATCAGGAATGTATAAAGAAAGCCTCCTGGACAACCAGTTCAGAAGATGGAGATGAAGGTCTGTAGTGATTACTTGCCTGGACAGACCCTAGATCAGAGAGATTTGCTCTTTTCTATCCTGAGAGTATATGTGTACGCGTTCCAAGTGATGAGCTTGGCACATGGGTGTTACAGCATATGCTTTATTATTTAATTCTCTGTCCAAATATTTGCTACAACCATTGAAAAAATATGTCTACAAACCAGAAACCCTATTCCACTGTAATATATTTTTATCCTTGTCAAGTTATTTGTGGGTGCATTTTTCCTTACCTGCAGTTTAATGGAAGTGGTTGAATCTTTGCGGGGCGGGGGAAATACCTTTGTAATAAAACAAGATTATCAAATTTATGTGGGAATGTCTTTCTTCAAAACCTTCGGAAATAGAACAAAAGTAAATTAGTCCACAGTTTGTTCAGCTGTATATGCTCTTCAAGTGCCCTAGCCCAGGGCTTGACAGACTTCATGCTCAGCAAGGTCGACACTGTTTTTTGCTGAAATGCTGAGATCACCAATAAGAGCCAGGTGCAAAAGCCATATACGCAAGCATAATAAAACCCCAAGGATTTATTTTAATACCAGAATTAAACCTGCAGTGTACTCCTTCCATGTAAAAATCTACTTCTGGACATAAGACATATCCTGTTCCTTAAATTTCCTATATAAACATTGCTAAAACAGGGTGCACCTTAGAATCAAGGGTGTGTGTGTGTGTGTGTGTGTGTGTGTATTCATTTACCCTTGATTCTAAGATGCACCCTGATTTAGTGGTGTTTATATGGGGAAAATAATACACACACAGGCGCGCGCACACACAAACATAAACAATTACGTGTGTTTGCGTGTGTATTATTGCATTTTTCCCACATAAACATCACTAAATCAGGGTGCATTTTAGAATAAAGGGTAAATGAATACACACACACACACCCTTGATTCTAAGATGCACCCTGTTTTAGTGATGTTTATATGGGAAAAACACACGCACATGCACACACAGGAGCCCCTGGCGGCACCGTGGGTTAAAGCACTGAGCTGCTGAACTTGCTGACTGAAAGGTTTCAGGTTCGAATCCAGGGAGCGGCATGAGCTCCTGCTGTTAGCCCTAGCTTCTGCCAACCTAGCAGTTTGAAAACATGCAAATGTGAGTAGTTCAAGAGGTACCACTCTGGCAGGAAGGTAACAGCGCTCCATGCAGCCATGCCAACGATATGACTTTGGAGGCATCTATGGACAACACCAGCTCTTCGGCTTATAAATGGAGATGAGCACCAACCCCCAGAGTGGGACACAACTGGGCTTGATGGCAGAGGAAAACCTTTACTTTTACTTATACACACGCACACACGTTTTCTGTTGGTACTGAAATTAGTGTGCATTTTAAAATCTATGGTATCTTAGAACTGCAAAAATACAGTAATGTGGTTTGGAGATGGAGGGAAGAAGAGTTATTTTTGTGCTGTCATTGTGAACAGTTGCTAAGTCTGAAATCCCTCTGATCTTCACAAATCTCCTGCGTCCCAGTGAACCTTCTGCACAGCACAAGGCTTGCCTAACCATGTTAAAACTTTTTTACCTCCAGTCTGGGGAAAAACCCACAAGGGATAAGCTGGTTTCTAAACTGGATGGGGTATATTCACACACTCTCCTCTTGAGTAGAACAGCAGAAGGTGAGAACTTAGAGGCCCAAACATCTGGAGGGCCACAAGGTTGGCACTTCTGACTTAGACCATCATGGAAGAACGTAAAAGGTGTCCCTTGTCCCCTTCACTGCCACCTCTACTCTCTGCACTTCTGGCCTTCCTGCACAGGCAAATGATGCTTGTGGCCAAGGATAGATGACTTCCAGAGGCAACTTTCCCTTCTCTGCAGAATAACCCTCAACTTATCTATAAGTCATATCAAAATCCATAATTTTGGCCCCCAAACCCGCCCTTGACTTATACATGAGGCAGAATGATAGATGTACAGTCTCTCAGCTTGCCTGCCTCCCTATTGCAGTGATGGCAGCAGAAACATCATTCAGAGGGCAGAACTGCTACTGTCATGTTGGAAAGCAGGCAAACTCTGATGCTGCCACTGGCTACTTTGTCAGGTTTCCATTTCTTCTGTGAGCACCCACCTGGAAAAACATAGTCCATTGTTCAATACATATATATTATTTAATGATGTGTGATGAATTCCCTACCTACCTCAGAAAGGCAGGCCCAGGAAGTTCAGCAGCTATTTTAGAAGGGTGCCTGGGGGCATCCATCTTAGAATCTCATTTCCTGGAGGGGGTGTGCTTAGGAGCAGCTTGGAGGGAAATGAGGGGAGTTTGTAATTGGCTGGGAGAGAGTGGGAGGAGCCTAACTAGTAAAAAAATGACTTTAAGGGTGTTTTAAAACCTGACAGCTCAGTTAGGGTCTGTGTGTCAAAGAAGAAGGAGTTTGGGTTGGGTGTGAAGGAGAGAGGAGTGAGGGAGAGTGTGTGTTAGAGGAACAGAGCTAGTGAAGTCTGAAGTTGGTCAGTTAGCCAGCAGAGTTAGTTAGTGAAAAGATTTACAGCTATTGGGAAGGATAGCTGGTGGAGTGGTGAGACAGATCCAAAAAGGAAAGGACTGTCTGTGTGGAATTTAGGATTACTAGGCAGAGAGGAATCCTGTAAGTAGTTTCTGGAGGGAGAGAGGAGTGTTATTTGCAACTAAGTTTTGAACTGCTTAAAGAAACCATACGCTTTTATCCAATATTGAAACAGCTGAATGCCTGTTTTGTTCAAGTTCTCTCAAATAAACAACATTGTTCTTTGTTCACAATCACTGCCTCAGTGTGCCTCTGTGTGTGAAGATCTAAAGCAGTTTATAGACGAGATCAAGGTTAAATGGTGGCAGCGTGTATTTTAAAAGAGAATCTCTTCAGTGTTACCTCAGAGAACAAAGCCTGAGTGTGAATCCAGCACATTCTAGCCTAAAGATACCTCAAGACAAGCCAAGGGCTTAACATTTCTTTTAAGTGTGGTGGGAGCCAGTGTTCTTTTGAAAGGTTTTTCAGCCAGAAGATTGTTCTAGCTTATTCAGCTTTTGATTTTTAATTAAAGAAGCCACATTCCATTATAAGTGGTTGGCAAGAGGTTGGAATTTGTTCATAAATAATCCCTAACCATTATAATTTGGTGTACAGTGGTTGGGATTTGGTTAATAATCCTTTATATTGGTGTCAGCTTCTGGGATTTGCTAATAAATAATCCCCTATCTTTTATAACATGCTTGCCTGGTTAGTTCCAATCAGTTTTTGCTTTTGGGGCTTCATTGGTCCCGCAAGGACTTTGTGGCATAATGTAAAATAAACCATGTGTAGTTCACGTTTGATCAGACCACACGCTGCCTTGCCAGAGAAAGAAAATATGCCATTCAGGTGAACAGGAAAGAACAAGTAGTTTACTCTTCTTAATTCAGAACAACAGATGTACAGTGTGATCAGTTGCACCAACTCATATAATATCCTTTTATGAGAGATTTAGAATAGTTTTTCTTTTGTCCATGTGGATAAACTTCTTCAGCAGCTCATGAAGCAAGAGCATACTCCAAACTTTGACCCCCCTTCACTCTTCAAACTGTCTCTCGCTACATCTACACAGCTCAAACCTGAACAAAAATGTAACAGTACCAAAAAGTTCCAGGCTCAG